TTCTAATATCAATAGATAATTAAATATATAAATTTTAAATTTTAATTTTTTTTCATAATAATTTACCATATATTTATCTTTAAAATATTACTAATTAAATTACATTTTTTTTGAATTTTTATTTAGAAAATATTATAAAATTTATTATAAAAATATTAATTTTTAAAAAATTATTTTAAAAATATTTAAAATTATTATAAATAAGTTTAATTATTAAATAAAATTGCAAATTTATCTACAATATATTTGAAGAGATAATTGATGAATTACTAATTAAATTGTATTTTGAAAGATGTAATCATTTGGGAAGCGATCAGTAAAAAAGGGAAAAATCTACTTTTTAGTCAAAAATTTTTTATTAGTTTACTCTATTGATTTATAGTTGATTATGTAGTATTATAAAAAAAAATTTGGTTTAATTTAGTTTTTAATAAATAATTATAATTTATTTTTAGTTTTTTAACCATTTTTTTAGATTTTTAATTTTATTATAAATGTCTTTAATTTTATTTTTAGAAATTATGCTTTGGTATTAATTAATTTTGATGATATTAAAATAATTACATCAATTTGACTTTATTATAAATTATTAATAAATGGGAAGCAGTCAATAAAAAAAGAGGAAAATCTATAAATTTTGAGTAATTTTAGTTATTAAATTAGTTTTATTCACATGACCATGATTAAAATAGTTAGAAGCAAGATTATTTACTAATCTATTATTCTTTTTACTTTTTTCTTCATTTTCTTTTTATTGTTTACTTATATAAGTTCTTTTTCTTTACAATTTTTTGCTACAAAATTAATATTATTTAAATATTATATAATACTACTTAAAGCTTTTTGATTATTATTAATTCAATTAATTACCATTATTAGAAGTAATTATATAAGATATAGATAGTAATATTAATTAATTAAATTAATAATAATTAGGTTAGATGCTAACTGATCATGATTAATGTATTACAGAAAATTTTAAAATCTAAAAATAAATTACAAAATATGTTAAATTCTTTATTATTAATGATTAAAAATAATAAAAATTAAATTTTATAAGTTGTTAGGTTAAATATAATTGCATATTTAATGATTTGGATGTATTTTAATTTAGATTTTATTGATTCTGTTATATAATAAAGTTTTGATCATATTATTAGTTAGTCCAAAAAACATTTTGCATGTTTGCCAGGATTTTTTTTTTCATTTTCAGAAACTATATAAATCCCAAAAAATTGTTTAACTTGTAAATTATTTGAAGACATATTAGTTAAATATTGATAAACTGATACAACAACAAAATGGTCCTTTTATTAAAATGCAACTTCACATGATCTAAGTTAATTTAAAATCGATCAGCTGATATATCAACTAATCGATCGATTAATCGTTACTCACCTAACCAATTAGTTACTACTGTTTTTATACCCCAACATAAAATTGCGTTACATATTACAATCACGCAATTTGCTTTTTCCTTATAATTAAACTTCCTTTTTCACTTATTCAAGTTACTACTTTTGGAATATTTCATATGTCAATTTATTTCAGCTAAGTTTATTTCCCCAATCTTTGTTTATTCTATCGATCAAAAAATTTTTGAATGCAAGTTGTTGAGATGCCGTTATAAATAACGCTTTTTGCCTAAAAAAAAAAAAATTATAATTTTGTCAGAATTATCAATATGGCTCCTCGCGCAAATCGCGAAGAACTCATCAATGGTTAGTATATTATTATATCCTTAAGTTGTAACGAATATATCCACAACACCTTTAATCATATTCCATTATTATTCTCATTATTGAAAATAGGACCTAAAACCTTTAAAAAGGTAGACGTTATCAAGCCAATTAAAGTGCTTGGAAAAAAAGGAATTTCTGACCAACAACCTTGGTATATAATCGTTGATAACAAGGTTTATGACATTAAAGATTTTGTGTCTGACCATCCCGGTGGGGCAGTGATTTTGACCCACATTGGCAAAGATTCAACTGGTACTTATATTTACCCGACACCTTTCTCCTCACGTAATTTTGACAAATTCCAAACAAATTTCTGTCCCCGAGGGGTGAACAAATATTTTACTATGATCACGTGGTGTGAAAAGTGTCGGCGATACGTAAATCATGTGATATTTGTGATATTCACTTGACATGTGTTCTAACGCGTGATGTATATCAATTTAGATGCATTTTATAATTTTCATCCCGAGGGGGCAATTGAAATTTTGGCAAATTATTATGTTGGTGATATTGCCCAGGAAGACATAAAAACTTCAAAAGAAGGGTTCACACAAGAATTACGAGAATATAAAGAACTTTTTAAAAGGAGTAATTACTTTGAGTCATCAAAACCATATTACGCTCAAAAAGTAATTCATAACCTCATCATATGGGCAATTTCGGTTACAATTTTAGCTAAATTTGGGGATAATCTTTTTGGTGTTCTATTATCAGCTGCAATGATGGGATTATTTTGGCAACAATGTGGCTGGTTATCTCATGATTTCCTTCATCATCAAGTATTTCATAATAGAAAATATAATGATTTGATGGGTGCTTTTCTTGGTGGAGTTTGTCAAGGATTTGATCCATCTTGGTATGAAATTATTTGTGATAATTCCATTTATTTATTGATTTATTTATTTTTTTATAAAAAAAAAATTTGTATTTTATAAAGGTGGAAAGATAAGCATAACACTCATCATGCGGCACCAAATGTTCACGGACAAGATCCAGATATTAATACACATCCAATTTTGACTTGGTCAGAATATGCACTCTCTGATATATTTAATCCTGAAATGGCTAAAATCAATGCAAATAATCTTCCACCATGGCTTACCAGATTTATGGTTGAATATCAAACTTTGAATTATTTCCCAATTTTATGCTTAGCAAGGATTTCATGGTGCATTCAAAGTATTTATTTTGTCCTTCCTAATGGTCAAAATGGAAAACCTGCGAATGCTCGTATGCCAATTGCTTTAACAGAGCAACTTTCACTTGGCATACATTACATTTGGTACTTTTACATTTTCTCTTTTATAAGCAGTTGGAAATTAATAATCACATTTTTTTTTGCATCACAATCAATATGTGGTTTATTATTGGCTTTGGTGTTTGCATTGAATCATAATGGTATGGCAATCCTCACAGAAGAGGAGGCTCACGAAATGGACTTTTTTGTTGAGCAAGTTATCACTGGAAGAGATGTAATAGCCTTAAATCCAAATTTACAATTTGTTGTAGATTGGTTTTGCGGAGGATTAAATTATCAAATTGAACATCATGTAAGAAGTATGATTAATATTTGTTCGTATAACGGCTATATAATTTATTTATTTTTTTTATTTTTTTTTATTTTACAGCTTTTCCCTGCGCTCCCTCGTCACGTCTTTCATAAGGTTCAACCAATTGTTCAAACTTTATGTGAAAAATATGAAATACCTTATCATAGAACTACATTTTTTGGAGGCACAAAAGAAGTTTTCAATCGATTGGGACAAGTTTCTGCTTCAAGTCGAAAATTAGCTTAATTTATTTTTATTCAACTTCATTATGTTTGTACATAACATAGAGTGGCCCCCAAACGAATGCATATGCAAACATAAGTCATTTATGATTTTACGTTAAGAAATCAAATAAATTAAACTCATTCGTTCCATCTTTTTTGGTAATGACACCTTTTTCAGTAACTATAGCAGTAATTAACTTTGCAGGTGTAACGTCAAAACTTGGATTCCAAACTTTAACACCTTCCGGAGGCAATCTTACTTTTGTAGATTTTAACTCTCCACCATTAATATTTTTAACAATTCCAGTTACATTTGTAACTTCATCTTCAGCTCTTTCTTCAATAATTATCTCCTTTCCACTTTTAATATTAAGATCAATACTAGTACTTGGAGCAGCGACTATAAACATGATGTTATGATAATTCGCGGTGATAGCCAATTGGTAAGTACCAATCTTATTTGCAGTATCACCATTCGAGGCTACCCTATCAGCTCCAACAATTATAGCTGTAATATTATTATTATTATCACTTAAAGAAAGGAGAGCAGAAACCATTGAATCACAGATCAAAGTACTTGGAATCTTATCGTGAATTAATTCATAAGCGGTCAATCTGGCCCCTTGATTATACGGACGAGTTTCTGTGAAATAAGCATGAGAAAGTCTATTTTGAAAGTATAAAGATCGAATAATTCCAAGTGCTGTTCCATATCCTGCTGTTGCTAAAGATCTATTAATAATAAACACAATAATTTTCAATCTTGAACTATTTTTATGTATATTTAATCCTTATTCACTTACCCAGTATTACAATGAGTTACTACACCAATCTTTTTATCTTGATTTTCTTTCAAAATAAATTCTGCTCCAAAATTTCCAATATTTTTGTTATCTTGTACATCATCAATCAACATTCTTTCAGCTTCTTCAATTATTCTCTCTATTATCATGTTAACATCTGTTTCTTTCTCTGTGATGTTCCATAAAATATCCGATGCGCGAAATAAATTAACTGCTGTCGGTCGAGAAGTTTTCAAATATTCAAGCGAAGCTTTAATATAACTCTTTAAAGTTTCTTGATCTTTAAAAATTGAGTTGGTTTGATTCGAGCTTTGTAAAAGAAGATCTATTGCTAATGATAAAGCTGCAACTATTCCTATAGCCGGTGCACCACGAACTTTCATTTCTTTGATTTGTTCATAACCTTCTTTTACATTCGATACCGTTTCATATATTGTTTTATGTGGAAGTAAAAGTTGATTTAAAACTTTTAGTGAAGGAGGCGAACGTGTAAAAACGATTGCTGTAAGATCCGAGATTGGTGTTTCATCGGACATTTTTTATAAAAAAAAAAAAATATGTTTATGATTTATGATATCTTAGATATTTATTTATCATCCAATCAGCTTAAATCGGCTATTTATTGGTAATTAAATTATTTAATTATTTTAAATACTTTTATTACATTTAAAATTCAAGGTCATGTCAGCAAACTCTCATGTAATTTTCGAAAAGAATGATGACAGTTCGTCTTCAGATTCTATTTATCCAAGTTCGGAAGATGAAACTAGTTCAACTGAGCTCGAACACTATATATTGGAAAGTAATATAAAAGCAGTTAATGCTCGTTCTCCCCGTAATAAAAAGTATGAAAAATGGATGAATTTAGTCTTGAATGCAAAGAAAGCTATGTTGTCTTCTGAATGGTCGAACCTGTTAGCAGGTAAATTATTATTATTTCAAATAATTTTAGTCGTGCATTTTATTCTTACTAATAAATTATTACAGCAATTCAAAAACTTGAGAAGGCATTCAGGTCAAATAATACCAATCCACTTGGTTTATTCACTCCAATTCTTGGTAAATAATTTATCTATAGTCTATTTCTTTATTTTTTATCTTTGTTTTTTGTTTTTTTATTTTGATATCGATTTTTTTATATTTTTATGAAGCGCGTTTTCTCCTTGAACTTGATGAATTTTTTAAAAAACACCCCGTTGATAAAAAATACAGGAAAAACTTGAAATCTGGAGAAGCAAAAGCATGTAATGCTACTCAACAAAGATCTCAACACTTAATAAGGTCATTAAACTCTATCATTTTAGAATATCAAAAAACCCCTCCACCCATCACAATTTCATCTTCTAACGTTAGACTCGTAGATGCTGTAGAAAAGTATTTAACGATTCCACCACATTATTTCCTTTCGTTAAAAAATCTAAATCTTCACGAGTGCTCAAAATATTTGAAAAATATTATTAATATGATTTATTATTATAAGTCATTTTTAAGGACTGTAAATTGTGTTTCATTTGATCTTGATTTTTTGACTATTTTGGATCTGTCGAGGAATAGGTTACGAGGTATTACATTTATATTTTCTATTTTCTTTCCTTATTGTATAAATTTTAATTATTGACCTTTTTCTTTTTCTTTTTAAAATTAAAAAAAAAGATTTCCCTTATGAGATTCTTCTTTTTCGGCATTTAAAAGTTCTCTGTATTGGTCACAACCTCTTTCAATATTTTCCACCATATATCACAAAGGTATCCCGAAACACTGTAATATTGGGAGTTAAAAACAATCCTCTTTTGAAATCAAACCTTCATAAATTTCAAAATGTTAAAAATATATATCGTGAAGATGTACCTCGATTAATGGATATTTGTGCACAAGCAATTATTCTTAAAAAGATCCCTCTTAAACGAAGAAAATTAAAAGTTTTCATAAATATTCAACAACAAATTGTTCCAGATATAATTATTAATTTTATTAAACAAGGATTTTTATGTGAATCTTGTCGTCTATTCATTTCACCTTCCTCTTCATTATTTTTACAACCTATAATTGAAAACATGAAATATCCTAAGAGACAGGATAAAAGTCTTGATGATCAAATCAACAGCATAATATATCAAGAATTACCGCTATTCAGAAGATTTTGTGTTCAATGTTGGCAGATACATAATGCAAGGGATAATTCAAAATGTATTTGTGTTACATGTAAAGTTGAAAGAGCAACTAAAAAGTGAGAAATTACCATGACGCGTCCAAAGCTTCGTCTTGTCTTTGTCTCTTGATTATATATTATATTAATAAATAAAATCATGAAATATATTAAATAAAGTGTAATAACCTGTTTCACTGACTGACATAGCGTCGCCCGGAAAAAAATGGTATTTATTACTATAGGTTAGTATTAAAGTTAGGGTTTGGATTAGGATTAGGTAGAAATTAGGATTAGTTAAGGGGTTAGGAAATTTGTCATCGCGTTACATCCCGGCTGTTCTTCAATTTACTAAGTATTCTGGAACAGAGAAATTTTTTTATAATAATATATCATCTAACTAGAATGATGATAAATCAAGAGAATGATCATATATCGTTTTAATGATAATGAATGAATGATAATGTATCATTCAAAAAGAAAGACATATTATCATTTTTCTTGAATGTATTATCATTTAATTAGAATGATTTTACTGACCTAACCTGAATTTTAGGTCAAATAGGTCAGATTAGAACAGATTATTTGACATAACCTAAACTGAAAAAAATATCAGATTAGATTAACCAGATAAATTAAATTGTTTAGAGCTCTAATCCTGAATTATCATAATTTTAGATAGATTTTTATGAGGTCATATGTGCTATTTTAAATGTATTAAATAAAAATTAAGTTTTTGAATAAATTTTATGTTAAATGAATATATTAATAATGATTTAGTAAAAAAATTTTAAATTCAAATTTTTTGTCATATAATTTAAAAATCAATTTGTGTTTTTTAAAATTATTTAATTTATAAGTTAGATTAGTATTATAAATTTAGTTAGAATTATAGTATATAAAATTATAATTGATCAAAATTATATAATTATAGTTAAATCTAAAATTTAATAGTTTATTAATAAGATTTAATTCTAATATTAATTAAGATATATTTTCTGATGAAAAAATATATAGTAATTTTAGTAATAAAATATTCTTTTATTATGCATTTTATAAATATTATATATCTTTACCATCAATTGCTTTTAGTTAGATTATTAAAAATATATTTTATTTAAATCTAAAATGCTTTATATAATTTAACAAACTTTTTTTTAGATTTTTTTTTAAGTAATCACATTTATAACTAAAGTTTTAAATTAAATCAAGTTAATCTATTATCTGATTTAACTTAATTTAAAAATTCTAGATCAAGTTAATAAATTTTAGTTTAATATTAAGTAGAATCAAAAATATGACTTAATTAAAATTTATAATTTACGAACTATTAAATCTCTAATTTAATAAGAGAATTATATTTAATTTTGTCAAAAAATTATTGACAATAAGGATTTGTAAATAATAAATTTAATTTAAATTTTATTTTACTTGTTAAAAATTAACATATTTTTATAATTATAGAATATTTTATATATTTATCTATCATTATTATATTATACGTATTAAATTAGTTCAAGTAGTAAATAGAAAATAGTTTTATAGTACTTTTCAAGACCATCATTATTACTAAAGATGAAAAAGTAAGTCTAAAATCTAATATTTACTTTTTAATACTACTTAATAAACTTGACTTTGTATTTGATTTTTAATCTTTATTTTGATATATAAAAGCTTCTAATGTATGTAAACATTTTATTAAAGTATAGATTTAAAATATTTAACGATTAATATTTTAACTAACATGAGATTACATCCTAAAGTTAAGAAAATTTTCATAAATAAAATACAAAAATCTGATATATATTATCAAATTACATAAGTTTTAAATATAAAAAATTAATGATTTACTCAACATTATAATTATTATATATTTTGTAAAACATTTTAACTTTAATATTGCATAAATATTATAAATTGTAAATTTTGTAATGAACTTATTTTATAAACTTTACAAACTATAAAATTTGCAATATTCTTTGATTATAGTTAGAGTTCCGGACAAGTCGAGTTAACTCACGAGTCAGATAAGCCGAGTCGAGTTCAAATCAAGTCGAGTTGGTGTT